ATGCGCACATTCCCATAATTCTCTGTCCATGCATATCAAATCCAACATATTCCAAGCCGAGTAAATCAGATGAAATATTAATAGAAAATGCCGTAGTTTTTATTTTTCCAGTAGCCAACATAATATCTTTAAAATTTAGAGGCGCATAAATTACATTAATTATATCTTCGTGCTTAATATGGGAAGGTACATCAAACTGCATCCAGCGGAAACTATTCAGATCTCCTTGTGTCTGTTATGAATAACATGAATAATAATTACGTATTAAAGGACAAGGAACGTTTTCCTAGGCCATGTGTGCATAAACAATAGAGAGTTAATAAAAATATATTTTCAAGTTTCAAATATTAATACTTTGTAAAATCTTTCAGTTCAAATTTTTCATTTGAAAAGAAACTCGACGAAAGGAGAGTTTGCTTATTGTTACAAGTAATGATTAAAAATTGAGACGGGAAACTTATAGTCAACCCAACTGGCTAGTTATTTAATTAGTTTGTTACACAGCTTTTCGACCCTATTCTTTTGGGTCCTTTTCGAGTGATAGTGCAAATCAACAACAACGCAATTATGAAATAATGTAGGTTAATAAGTAAAACGGATTTAATTAAAAAGTTAAAAAGTTAAGCAACACACCTAAGTCAGTCATCGTCGTCAAATAAGACAGAGTCGAGTTATAAAATATATGCATACGTGTGGTAGCTGGGCTCGAACTGTTGTTGATTTGCAGTATCACTAGAAAAGGACCCAAAAGAATAGGGTCCAAACGTTGTGTAATAAACTAATTAAATAACTATAAACCAGTTGGTTTGGCAATAAGTTTCCCATCTGAATTTTTTATCACCTCTTCTTGTTGGACACATTTTCTGACAATCACATAAAGGTCGCATAGGGATCTAATAGGTCCCCACGACATTCAAATAGTGCCGTGTTTGCACTATTCTTCCAATTTAAAAAAAAAATTACGGAATAAGTTCGAAAACTAGTATAAGAAGAAGAAATAAATTTTTAATAAAAAATTTAATTTTAACGTAACTAAAAAAATCGCGAATTTGAAAGTTGTAGAAAATGAATTGTTTCAATAAAAAGATAATAAGTTTTTAAAAAGTGTTTGTTTTTACAGGTTATTAACTTTTTAGTGAAACAACTCGTTGTTAACAACAATTTAGTGTTGTATTATGGCAATGTAATACTTTAAAGAAAAGAAGGGGCTTCATTTGTCTAAATTTGCGATTGCCAACAGCTTCGTCTGACCAAAACATTTTGCCGACAGCTTCAGTTGCCGACATTCTTGATTGCTTGCAAACCGATTGCCTACTAGCAGTATTACGCACATACAATACAAAAGTACGTTTGCGCACATAGGCTTATTAAGCACAAACACATTGCGCACATGACATTATTGCACACATGCAGATTGCACAGATGACATTAGTGCGAACATACGCTTTGCAAATCTGACTTTATTGCACACAAACACGTTGAACACATGGCCATATTGCACACATAAAATATAAAAATCTTTACGCACACGACTTGGTCGCGCATATACACATTGCACACATGACATTATTGCACACATGCAGATTTACACACGATTTTATTGGGCACCCAAATAGCACAAGGACGTCCTGAAGACGTCCTCAGAATATCCAGGACGGGACGTCAGGACGTTTTGGGGACGTCCCATTTTAGTCCCGGGACCTCCTGAGGACATTCTGTGGAACACCCGATGCGCGATATTATCAAGTATAATTATTAAGTAAATACTTATTTTATAAAATATATCAAATTTTTCTTATAAACTTTTTATTTATGGTCAAAATAAGCGAATACAATGTTTGTAATTTTTGTGGCATTATGGACTGAGTCACTTACGCCATCTATAATAGTATTTGTGTACTCAAACACTTTGACCCTTAAAAATATTCATAAATCACCTAACCTCTAATTAAAATAAACAATCTGTGTGAGCTGTCTAACGAAATATTTATTTATCATGACATCAAGAATAATTTTACGTCAAAATATTTATTTAATTGGTGATGTTGACACTCAAATTATCGGTAATAAATTGCCATCAAAATTACAAGTGCTCAAAGTTTTTTTTTATCATATACGTATTCTTAAATTAAAATTACGTGAAAGTGCTGAAATCTGTATTGATGAAGTTAAAGTATTTGGTAATTATTTAGAGATACGGACCACCCTCCGATGACCTTGCCCTTGACATATGTTGTCATCACTCTGATTGACCTTCAAGAGGTTTTAGCCGGCGGTCGTTATTCGTTGAAAAGTTATTAACAAAAAGTGTAGAGCCGTATAACGCGTGGATCTAGTTTCGTCCTGAAAGCAGGGGTCGGTGTGGGGTGGTGTCGCTTCGCGTGGAAGTCGGGAACCCATGTAGAACCATTGTACAGTTCCACATGGGTTCCCGACTTCCACGCGAAGCGACACCACTCCACACCGACCACTGCTTTCAGGGCGAAACTAGATCCACGCGTTATACGGCTCTACATTTTTTGTTAATAACTTTTCAACGAATAACGACCGCCGGCTAAAACCTTTTGAAGGTTACTCAGAGTGATGACCTTGACAACATATGTCAAGGGCAAGGTCATCGGAGGGTGGTCCGTATCTCTAAATAATTACAAAGTATTTTGGCAAAAAGCTCCGATACCAACTAAAAGAAAAGATCATTGAGCACTTGTAATTTTGATGGCAATTTATTACCGATAATTTGAGTGTCAACATTACCAATTAAATAAATATTTTGACGTAAAATTATTCTTGATGTCATGATAAATAAATATTTCGTTAGACAGCTCACACAGATTGTTTATTTTAATTAGAGGTTAGGTGATTTATGAATATTTTTAAAGGTCAAAGTGTTTGAGTAGGTACACAAATACTATTATAGATGGCGTAAGTGACTCAGTCCATAATGCCACAAAAATTACAAACATTGTATTCGCTTATTTTGATCATAAATAAAAAGTTTATAAGAAAAATTTGATATATTTTATAAAATAAGTATTTACTTAATAATTATACTTGATAATATTAATAATTATATAATAATTAAACTTTGAGCTCGAATAACTCTTAAGCCAATAGATTTAGCGAAAAATTATAAGAGACCTTTTTTGTAGAGTGTTAAATTTGCAATAAACATGGCGCGATTTATTACTTTTGATTCATTTGTCGCTGAGTTATGGAATTCTAAAGAACAAATGAAATTTTTCCCATGTTATTTCCATAAGAAACTTATGTTGGAATGCGGACTATCCTAAAATTAATATTAAGAGCTCAAATTTTCAGGGAATTTTTTTTTATCAATTTGGAAGCATTTGAGCCCCTGGGAGCAAAGAAATTCGAAAACACCCCTATTAAGGACCACCCTAATGTATACTGCATTTATCAAATAAATATATACATAACTCGTCTAATGCAGTGTTTCTTTTGGAAGAGTATGGAATTGAGCAATCATGTACAAGATTCTTTAACAATTTTCTATTTGTATAAAATGTCCAGTAAATTAATACCATCCCATTTTATAGCATAATAGTGTAAAATTTCATGTCTAATGCGTTATATAAATATTTGGAAAATAACTGTAAATTATTTGAAGAACTACACTAATTCTAAAAATTAATAACATCATGGATCTGACCTCCAAATCGCGAGAAAATAAAGCAGAATTTATGAAATTTTTTGTATATGTATAAACGCACGCACGCGCACACACACGCACGCACGCACGCACGCACGCACGCACGCACACACACACACACACAATATCTATAATAAACATGCATAAAAAATAGTGCCTGTGATAATTGACCAGTGATATCAATAATTTCATTATTTGCTGATTCATAATATGTAATTTATTACATCCAGTCACATTTGTGCATAACATCGAATATTTCAGAGAAATCCTAAAAATGTCCTATAAAAATGTCCTTAGGACGTCGTCTCTGTATTTATACCGGACGTTCTATGGCTTTTCCGAACATGCCTTTATACTTTATACTGCTCTCAATATGTTCTGTGGCTTTACTGAGTTCGTCCTCATGTTCTCCTAAATATATCCTAAAGAAAATTAGGATGTCCTTTATAGGATATCCTTTAAAGGACATCCTAAGGTCATCCCAAAAACGTCCTGAGAATGTACAATTTTCTTCAAGGCATCCCAGGACGTCCTAGGACATATTCAGGATGATCCTGAGGACGTCATGTGCTATTTGGGCACATACACATTGCACACATAATGTTGTTCCGCATATGCAAATTGTACACATGATATTCTTGCGCACGTGCATGTTGTACACGTTACTTTATTCTGCATATGCAGATTGTACACATGACATTAATGCACACGTACACACTGCACACATAGCCATATTGCCATGTTATACGCGAAGCGTACAGCCGACAACCCGTATCGGCTGTACACAGAACTATCGAAACGCGATGTTTAAGTATCCCCATTCTCTTCCCTCCCCTCATCTGGACACCATTATTCGATCTATATAAATAAATAACATCAAGAATTATTTAACGCTAGTACATGACTAACAATAATTAAGCCTAGAGAGATTCCAGGTTCAAACCCTGGCTGAGGTAATATTTTTCGCAATAAATTTTCTGTGTTATAATACAAACACATTGCCAGTTATAGTCAATTAAAACCTTAATTATTGTTAATCATGTACTGGCGTCAAGCAATTCTTGATGTGATAAACAATAAAATTCAAAATAAAATTTTTACTTACAGTCTGTTTAACACAAGCATATTGAAAGAGTTTTGATTCCAACGATGGTAATGGAAAGTGCCTGTAGGATCCCCAAACGTTACCGGAACGTATAACATTGATAGGTAGATCCACCTGCAGCTGTTTCTTGTATAACGGCTCTTGAATAGAAAAAGTAGGCGCTTTGTTATCTTGAATAAACACACTTCTAATTATTTCACCCCCTGGTTCTTTTCGCAAACAATTGATAAGACCTAATAAGCCACATTCGAAATCTTCCGCCACGAGTATGATTCTCGTATCTATACTAATCTGGTTTTGCACACTCATAAGTGATTTCAGTTCATCTACCCATGTAAACTCATTATTGTTTACATGTACAATTTGCTGATTGCTCGTAATATTTTGCGTTTTTCTTAGTAGTAAAAGTGTTTTTCCATTTATTTGTTTCTCCAGTATGATATCCACCTCATACATTCTTAGACATGAATAATCGTAGACCACACCAGACTTTTCGAGAGTTAGTATAAAACCTTGTGGCATTAATAGAGATATTAGTTGTTTATATAATTCCTTATCATTTTTGGTCAAAATATCGAAGCCTATGACCATCAAACAATTTTCATCTTTGGAGAGCTTAGTAATCTCGACTACAGAAATGTTAGGCAATGAAATATTTTGAAGTTTCTCATGGGACGTTACTAATTTGGTATGATGTTGAATCTGTGGTAAATTATTTAAAACTTCACTAACAATTGGCGAATTTAAATCTTCTGGTGTCACTTCATCAGAATTATCGACAAATTCGATAATTTTAACATTTATCTTACTGTAACATTCTAGTGCAACGTGGACTGACATTCTTATCGCATTTTGTAATGACATGGTTTCTACATCACGATGAGCAACGAATTTATGTTCTTCAAGAACGGTGTTAACAGTTTTTTGTCGCCGAGATATGGGAGTAGCCACAATGTCACAAATTTCTATTCCTCCGCATATTATAGCGTTTAGAGACTTGTAATGACGAACGGAGAAATCTGCAATGTAACACAATAAAAAAAAACTATTAAGAATATTCTTAAAAGCCGCCAGCAGTAATTAACAACATCAATGATTTTTATTGACCGTATCTGGCAAAAAAAAAGATTTCGAAAATGAAATTGACTTGCTTCTGCCTGTATTATGGTACATTTGTGTTACTTACGTCTTTTTTCACGTGGGTAATTATGAATACGTTTCATCAGCTGCAAGTGATATTTCGAGTCGATTGTCAGTTTGCGAATTCTTGTTGGAACCATAAGTTCTCTTGTATGATTTCCTAAAATCATGATCTGTAACATATTATCTATAAATGTTACCCAATTATATGTCCAAGCAATATGACCGTTGAATCCTGTAAATGATGCGCTTTTTAATCCACGAAATTCACCGGAATATTCATAACCACGAAGCTTTAATTCTTTGTAGATGTCTTTGGTATTCATTTCTTCTTCACTATCGACAAATTCAGCAAAATTAGCAGATATCTTCTCATTTTCAATATTGGTTGGTACTCGTACTATTCCAGTAACAACAATACTATCTCCTTCGGTTATTTCGAACCTATTGCTATCTAAATACAAATATCATTGTTTTAAACATAACATATAAGTTTAACGAAAGAAAATGTTGGCACATGTGTAAATAGCTTACAGAAATAATTAGTATGTAAAAATATTTTGTACGGTAGTAAACTTTAGTCATTCTCGATAAAAATTTAATTTTAAATATAGTATTTTGAATATAGTATAAAAGAGAACAAATATTTTTTAAATTTAATACTTAAATGGGGAAATTACTTTTTATGTAACGATAATACCTTTCTGTATCGAAATATTCAATTCGACTTTATTATATTTTGATAGTGTCGTAGCACGATGAAAAGTAATGTCCTCAAATACAACTGGTACATCGCTGTATTCTTGTTTTCTCAATGTGCTAATCCTTTCCCAAAGAAGGAAAAGATATCCCGTAGACGGAAACAAATTTTTTCCATTAATGACATGGCCCGTTAAATATGCAAATTCCTCATCAGTTATAGCAATGGTGACAACTTCTTCTCTTGTATGTATTGTACGTTGTTCAGTACCTCGGAAAATATATAAATCTTTAGAATGGTCCCATCTGTAAACACATCGTTAAAACACATTATATAATACAATCATATAAATCAATTTTTATTTGTTACCGTAATTAATACAACATTTAAATACTGATTGTAATATTTAAATTCCTCATTATTTTAGGTATGAAACAATTGCCATATACAGGGTGTTACTAAATTCATGTTACAACGCTTGAGGGGCGATGAGTTCAGGGTAGGCAACCTGTTGTGCACATCTTTTACTATGCTGGCCGCTACGTTTAAGGACAAATGTTGGGATTTTGTTTAAAACAACAACAGTTCAATTAAACAACTGTTTATTAACAGTTCTGTAAACCGATAACACATTTTAGAGCAAGGGCTCGAAATGACGACCACCTTGATCGACGCACAAGTGGCAACGGCGAAACATGTTTTCTTTTATCCTTTGCAACTTGCCTGGGGAAGCTTGTATCTCATCAAACGCTTGGATAATTGTTTCGGTGAGCTCTTCAACGGTTTGCACTGGCCGTAAACCACGGCTTTTAGGAGTCAACGGGTTGCCTACCCCCCAGATAGCACAGGATGTCCTGTGGACGTCCAGTTTAAGTCCAATTTACGTCCGAACGTCCGTGGACGTGAAATGGACATTTAACGGATGTCTATTGTCGTATCTTGAACGGATATCCT